GGCCGGCCAGGGGCTTTCCCTGCACAAGCGGTGGAATGAGTTTGGGAACCACTGCCCTAGACTACAAAAAAGGTTCCCAAACCTTTTTTAAAAGGCTACGTATCTGATTGAAAATAGTTCTTAGACCAAAATTCCTGTGCAGGGTTTGAAACCCAAACATTGGAGCAGTAGCACATTGAAAGTGAAATGAATTAGAAGTTGTAGAACTGGTTTGGTTTCATTGCATGCACTTAGAGAACTGCAGAAAGTAAAGCCCATAAGTGGTTACCAACTACACGAAATTTTTAAAATTCTTTGGTTTGTAGTGTCCTAAATCAGTGTTGTCATTATTATCCACCTAGTCAGTCATGCCTTGTGGCAAAGTGGGTGCAAAACAGAAATACATAAATAGATTGGGTCAGTTTGTGGCTACTTTTAAAGAGACTTTCTATGCCCAGGAATCTGTCCCCACTGTGAAGAAAGAAGCATGAGCTGCCACCACCACAAATATTGCTTAAATTACACTTAAAACGTTCCCATGTTTTCCCGACTCTCTAATTATGCAGTGAATGGCAGTACCGCACGGTGGCCGTTCATTCTGCCATTTAATAGCACCCCTGAGTCCGGGGGGGTGGGGGAGAGAGAAGAGGGGTGAGAGGGGACTTGGGACGGAGGAGAACAGCACGAGGATGCAGAAATTTGCACATCCCTGGCTCCGCCCCCCGTGCAAATGCGTCCCTAGGGCTGCAGGGAAAGCAGCAGTATCCCCAATAGCAGACCACATAGAGGGCTCAGCTGACAGGCCCAAATTTCTCTTGTCCTGTAGTGCTGCCACTGAGCTGAGATGCCAGGACCTCTTAGGGTGACCAGACAGCAAGTGTAAAACATCGGGACAGGAGGTGGGGGGAAATAGGAGCCTATATGAGAAAAAGCCCCCAAAATTGGGACTGTCCCTATAAATTCGGGACATCTGGTCACCCTAGGACCTCTGCAGCCCAGCCTCGTGGGAACACTCTGTGCCAGGTTGCAAGGGGCCTGCTGCTGAGTGGCAAACAAGGAAGCGGAGCTGGAAGACTGAGACAGGAAGTGTGGCATGTGGTTTGTTAGCCCACTAGCCTTGGAGTCAGGAGACACAGGGTGTGTTTCTGGCCTGCTTGGGGTCTCGGTCTGTGCCTCCATTTCCCCTCCCACCTTTTGTCTGTTTGTAAACTCTTAGGGGCAGGGACTGTCTCTGGCTGTGTCTGGGCAGTGCCTGGCACGACGGGGCCCTGATCCCAGCTGGGGTCTCTAGTAAGTGTTGCTGTAATGTAGATAACAGGAAAAGAAACAATATAAGAAAGAAAGAACTATGGGCAGGAAAGTAGAACAGGGCCAGCTGCCTGGGCTGGGAATACCCGAAAGGACTCAGACTGTGAACCAGACTTTCCCACACACCTACATTCAATCATTTCACTATTCATCTGTTGACCCGGATTTATGATGCTGGTTCTTCCAATCTAAGCCCGTCTGGTGTGACAACCTCAGCCCAGTTCCCGTGTCAAGTGGAAGCTGGTGGAGTTACGCGCAGGAGGATTACACCAGGGGAGCTTCAAAAGGAAGGACCAGAACAGGGACAAGAACAGCAGAATAAGCACATGGTGCTCGTGAAGCGTGTGCCTTGAACATTTAAAAGCCAGTCCTGGAAATCTTTCCTCGTTTGCGTCGTCTCTTTTGCTTCTTTGGCTTTCCCTGTTTTTGTGGACTTAGCTTCTGTAGGATTCTTTGGGCATCTTCAGCAGCACCGTTGAGAAAGGTTTTCAGCAGGATATACGTGGTAGCCAGTGAAATTCCACCAGCCACCAAGAATCCTACCCCTACAACTCCTCCAGACACCATGAATCCTAGCACCTGTAAAGGCCTCAGAAATAAATCTGCTACTATCAATATGCCACACCCAACCGAGGACAGGAGCTGCAAGACCATGTTAATGCTAATTTCCTTGGCCAGCAGGGGCTTCATAACGGCCAGCAGGGGCTCCATAACGTCCTTCAGCTCTTCCATTGGTTTGCCAAACTGCCTCGCGAGAGCCATGAAGGAGACATCATCCAGGCCAAAGACTCGGCAATAATATCTCATGCATATCATCAGGATGGTTACATCAAGAATGGTGGAGACACCGGGTATGTGAATAACCGTGAGAAGAGAGGACGCAAGGGCTATTTTCCAGATCTGCTTCTGTAGGGCTTCCTTTTTGTTTTGCAAGATTTGCAGAGAGGTGTTGGGCAGGGCCAGTATCAAAGCCCTTTTCTTGTCACCCGGAAGCGCTTTCTCCATGCTCTCTCGCAGGAGGGGAAAATCGTACTTGTCTAATTCAAATGCGGAGAGGAGGAAAACTTCAGGATTGATCATCCCTCCCTCTTCCAGGCATCGGATGGAGTGGTTACGGATGTCCTTCAATATTTTCTCCTTGTCATAAATGGAGGGCCGGCTACGTCTGGCATCATCCAAATCTAAATCCACCTTGGAGCGCACAAAGTAGCACATCTTCCCTGCCTTCCGGATCTCCTGAGCCAACTCAACATGCTTAGGTGTAAATTCTTCTAAGCCCATTATGACGAAGAAGTTGTAGCAGACAAATTTCACTGTCTGGAGACA